CTGGGTCCCCATTTTTCCGTTAGCCCCGAGGGTCTAGACGCCCGTCCCGAACCCCCCTGTCCGGAAAAGAGAGAGGGCCCATAAAAGGGCCCAAAACGGGAGAGAGGGCCCCCGTCGAGAAAAGCGAGTGTGAGTTGGCTGGGGGCCAGTCGTGTTCCTCTTGCTGCTGCATTGCCGGGCCCTCGGCGAAGAACAGGGTTGGCCCCGGGCCAGGGCCCCCAGAAGGCCATCGATCCCTGGGGACCCGGGGCCCCCCACTTGGCCCTCTCGCCTTCACACTGGGCCCCAGACGCCCCCTTTCGTATATTTTCGAAGAACGCCACAGTCGGGAGAGGCGGAGTGACGAAATTCCGGAACAGTGGAGCTATGGATTTTGATAGCGTAACCGTTGAATCCTGGGGCTGCTGGGCTAAAAATCGTCCTGGTATACCGTAGTCTCTGATTTTCCGAGCGTACCCAGCGAGATTCAGCGGATTTCATGCCGCAATCGTTACAACTAGGGTTTCCCAGACCTAAAAACTACCTACGTTTAGATTGCCAAGGTTCATAGCGTAATCGTTCAATCCCGCGGTTTTCTAGTCTAGAAACGATCTGTAAATACTGAAATCTGTAATTTCCGAGTCGCTTAGCTGTAAATTTCATGACATAACCAGTTAATCCTATCTTCTCCTAGGGTAAAAAACGGCCTGAGATACCGTACTCAATCATTTTCATAGCGTAACGAGTGAAACCGTCGCGAGCTTGACTTGGCGAACGCTTATGAGCTCCGGATTTCATGCCGTAATCGGTAAAACCTCGGTTTTTCCAGACTCAAAGCTATTTGGGTTCGTGTAGTCAAGGATTTTTGTAGCGTAACTGGTGAACCGACGTGCAGTGCCGTTAAAGCCGTCTGGCTAAAAGCTCACCCGATCTACCGTAACCCATGTTGACTTCCGACTTAACCCCGACCCAGCTACCGTATCCTCCACACAGCCGGGGACCCAAGTGTTGGCCCCGGGCCCGGCGATGTTTTGCCGACTAATTGGGAGCGGCAGGGCTTTTTAGGGGTCAGGGGCCCCCGAGGGTCCTGATCAGCCAGACGGGCTAGGGCCCCACACCGCCCTTCCGGGTTTTTTTCTTCCGGCTGGGCCCCAGGCTTGGGGCCCATCAGAAGAGGGGAGGGTGACTGGGGTCTATTCTGCGAATAGACACGGTGGAGACAGGGAAGAGGAGGAAGAACATAAAACTAGTGCTCCTTAGGCTGGTGCTCCTTTTCACATTACACACAAATTTTTTGCATTTTCCGATTACAAAGTATTTTTCACGTTCGAGCTGGACTTATGGGGTTGACTCTGACCCCCCACGCCTCGGAAATGCCACAGTACTGTAAACAGGAGCACGAGGATGTGCAAAGGGAGCTCGAGATGATCGTTTGCGTCGTATTTTAAGAATTCCTGTTCCACTATTGATTCCAGACGCCTCGGTAAAGGTTGCTTAACGGGGGGGAGAGGAATTTTGTCCCCTAAAGCGTCAACTACCCCCCAGGGGTCATCAACGAAATGGCCCATGTTGTTCCACGCTGATCCAGACCCTTCCCGCCAGGATTATCCGATTTGGCATCCCCTGCTCTTCCATCTCTCCAACACACAACCGAAAACAGCAGCTTGATGGCACCTGGCCCTGCGTGGTGGGGGCGCTTTTTAACGGCTTATAGGTCGTGTCTCGGGACCGGTGACTAACCCGGAAATCCCCTATGACTTCCGGATACCTTGGGGGAGCTGGATTTAGGGGATTGGGAAGGGTGAGGATCGCTTCGTAGTCCCTTTAAAGGGATTGCCAGGGCATTTCTACAGTTTTGCAGGCTATGGATTTCTTCTGCATTACCCGGGGTCCGCGACACGTAACGCGCACGCCGTGTGGGCCTAAAAAGGTCGTAATCGGTTGTGAAATCTAGCGAGAAGCGCGCGTGTTGCGTGTCGCGGCTAATGAAGGAATTTTGATAGCTTTACCGAAGAATTTGTTAAAAATTTAGAACGCGACACGCGACGCGCGTAGATTTGCGCCTTTAGCGGGCGTAATCGAGCTTCCTACATTACGACATGTAAAACAAGGCACGTGCGTTGCGTGTCTCGGCAGATAATCCATAGCCATACCTTGACGGCCCCTTTAATAGTGCAATACCGGGAGCACCAAAGTCCACGCGGCTACGCCGAGCCCGGCCCCCGCAAAAGGCACCTGCATGGACAACGAGGTACAACACAGGCACACACGGCCACGTGACTATGTGCAACACCTGCCAAGGGAAAGAGAGACAGACAAGGACAGAAAATGTATATCTAAATATATAGCCGCTAAATTTTCTAAAATCCCGCCTGGGTGAATGGTAGAGGTCTAGCCACCCGCCCACGCTACCCGGGCTCGATTCCCCTGCCTCAAAAATTTTTCGTTTTTGGGTTTCCGGAGATTTGTCGGATTTTCGAACGGCTACGTGCCGCCAGGGGCCGTGATTTTTGGCCTCGGAAGCTTAAGGGGAAGGTGTATGTGGGAAGCAGTTGGTCATGGTGAGAGAGAGAGAGAGAGAGAGAGAGAGAGAGATACGAAGAAAGGAATCCACTTCTTGCACAATATACTACTTCTTTCCGTAGCTAGCGGGCTAGGGGCCATTTTACAGCAGCGGCAGCAGCCCCGGGGTGGGCTTGAGTCGGTCTGTCGGTTTGTTTGTGTGTCTGTCTGTCGACAAGGGTTTTTGCGTGAGCCGTTTAGGTCCGATGAAAGAAGCCGTGAGATCCGAAAACAGCGAAAAAATGGAAAAAAATTGGGTGAAATTTTCATTTAAAGGGACTGGTAATTCAAGGGGTACCCATCGTAATCACATCTGCTTACGGCATATATAACAAAAATAGCACTTTCTTGAAACTATTACGGCATGGAAAAAGGCCCTAAAAATTTCGTAAGCTTGTCCGAGACAGGAAATACCTATCGTAATGAATTCCCGTGCTCTGGAAATCCAATTACGACATGTATTTCGAGCCGAGAATCGATTACGACAGGTATATTTTGACACCGGAACCGATTACGGCAGCAAACCGCCAAGAAGCCATTCACCAAATCATCAATTTCCTCTCCACTGTATCAAAAAATATCCAAAAACTGTATCTCTTTCTGCTTGCCATGCAAAACCATGGAAATTCGGTGTATTTGCCAGCCGAAAAATGGTTGTATGGTTTTTATTTCTCATTTTTCTTTGCATGATGGTTGGGGGATGGGATGTGTCAGACACAGAGGGGATAGGGGGAGGCGAATATACTGTATCAAAAAATATATTTAATAAAATCAGAATATACAATGTGGGTGTGTGGGGGGATATGGGGAGTGTCGGATGGGGGCTATCAACCGGAAATAACGGAATTTTTCTCTTTTTTGTCAATTTTTTTGGCTTCAAGGTGCCTTTAGAGTCGAAAAAATTAGCTAGAAAAATTATTCCAAAAAATCTATTAAATTTCCAGAATTCAATGATCCTTTAAGAAACGCAAAAACTCCGATTATACCCGGTGGATAGGCGTATTCTGTACAATTGGGCGGGCGAGTACGCGGGGATCCTATGGGACCATGGAGGGGCGAATAAATTAGTTGTATGGACATACCGTATCTGGGTTTGAAAGCCGTCGGTCCGGGGGTACGGTAGTCGGCCGGGGGGTCCCGCGGGGATACCGTAATCCGCCAAGGGATACGGGTTCCCTGGGGGACCCATCTCGACTACCGTAATCCCGACAGCGAAAGGTCTCCTACAAGGTGTGAGAGGGGGGTTTTGTGGGGTTTTTTCGAGGGTTTTTGGGCTTGAAAAAATCGGTAAATAATTCAGAAAAATTCCAAGAGCATTTTTGACGTTTTTGCAAGGATTTGGCACCTTGCCAAGACGAAAAATTCCCAGAAAAATTTTTAGAATCTTTTTAGAAGCTCGCTAGGTCGTAAAAACCCCAATAAACCTCGAAAAACGCCCCGAAACCCTCGAAGAAAAATCGTGAAAGCCAATGTGGGGTGTGTGAAGGGGTTTTTAAAGGGTTTGTAAAGGGATAAATAGCATATATATAATTTAATGTTCACATTAATTGGGGGATATATAGGTGGGGGTTGTAACCGACATTTCGAAGGAATAAAAAGGAACAATGTGCTGAGCAATGGGAACCGGGGGTCGACGGGTTATATAATGGGCTTAGGCTTAGGCTTAGGCTTAGGCTTAGGCTTAGGCTTAGGCTTAGGCTTAGGCCCAATCCCAGCCCTAGGGTAATTTGCATCTCTAAAATTCAGAAGTGGGGCTAGATATGGTTTTGGATAGAATTTTGGGGGCCAATAATTACACACGCAAAATATCGCTAAAATCGCAGCATCAAAAACGTATAAATATAATTTTCCAACGCGCGGGGCGTGCTGGTGCATTAATAGAGCTCTTCGACGGGGGTACACGATCAAAATTTCGGTGTGTGTGGGTTGGTGATTTACAGGAATCCGGAGGATATCTATGTACAGATTGCCATGAATAGGATTGCGCACATTTCAAGGGGGGGATATACGGATGATATGTACAAATTGGGAGGGAGCAAGGGGGAGGGCCCTTTAAAAGGGTGTCGTAATCGGTTACGACTGGAAATTCCGGGTAGGGGGCACACAACCAACGGGGGGAGATCTGTTGGCCCAAGGCGGGATCGGTGGGGGGAAGCGGAAATCGGGAGGGGAATACTTTTTGAAAGTGATCCCAAGTGGGAGGGATGGAGAGGAGGGTTGGAGGGTTGCGGGTCCCTTTAAAAGGGGAGCCGGATGGCGCCTGGGGTATAGAATTTTGATGTTGTAATCGATTACGATTAGAGCTTGCCAAACCGGTTACGACGTAAATTAACTATCGTAATCGGTTACGACAGAGAATTTCCGCTAATAGAACCGCTTACGACCGCTAATTCGGGGCGGTGAAGCCTCAGAAGCTACTCAACAACGCAGACCCCAACCCCCCGCAACTCCTTCCCTTAATACGAGCCGAGGATCAGCGCCCCCTGTGTGGCTCCCGAGCCCGATGTCGGCGGCGACGTCGAGCAGGTACCGTATCCGGATGAGCCGGACGACAGCACGGAGACGGCACACAGATTCGACCCCACCGAGCCGGTCCGATGATGATGGGGGTGGTGGTGATGGTGTGGCAGTGGTCGGGGCTGGGATCGTTGCTGGGCGGCGAGATATTGGGCTCGTGTCTGCTCGCTCTTCCGCTTCACCGGCGAGGTCGAGTAGTGCGCCAGGGAGCACGGCTGAAATTGGGTTAAATTAGTTTTTTTAGCAATTTTATGGATAGTTAATCGGTGTGAGCGCACAGATTCTGCTTGTCATTACGTAGTCTTTCGTAGGCCCCAAGTTATAATAGCGTAATCGATTAATTTTCAGAAATTTTGGTACTACCCCTTGGCATATTAGCCATTAAAAGGCCGTATTTAGTCCTACAGCGTTTAGAATATGAATTAAGAACACAGATTCCTAACGTCACCCCGTAGCGCCGCGTAGTCTACCCAATAACATAGCGTAATTAATTATGCGCGATAATTCCTCCTACTCACCTCAACATTCTTCTTGTCAATATTCATGGGTTGTGCCTCTTCTTGATTCCCTCTCGTAATCGTCAAATCTCTCTCCTCATCCCTCCTCGGCTCTTCCACATCAATTGGTTGTGATGACGTGGTTCCGGTCGAGTGTTCAGATCCATGTTGGGGTTGTCGGGGCTTTCGTTGGTGTGCGGCTTGGTGGGCAAGTCGATCGGGTACCGAGGCGAGCTTGTGTCTGGCCCCGTTCAGCTCATGGGTTGAGATGGGTTTGCCCGGTTCGCCGGGTTGCATCCATGGGTGTTCGAGAAGGGCTTCGAGGGATGGACGGGATGGACCCTCGATGGCCAGGCATTTCCGGATCAGGTCTTTGCATGCTGAAACGGAAGGTTTAGGTTTTAAAGGGGCATCGAAGGGAAGCCGCTAAGCTATTTTCAAGCTTCGTCGATTTTTTAAAGGACAGTTGAAGTCAAAAACCTACCATCCGAAATGGGGTGCCGCCAATGGATCGATCCACCAATGATGTCGGCATCTCGTCGGAAGGGGATGTCTCCACACACCATATCGTACAACAGAATCCCCAACGACCACACTGTCGCCTGGATGCCGTCGTACCGCGACTCCTGGATCCATTCTGGCGGGCTGTACACGCGGGTTCCTGAAAATTCAAGGGGTTTATTAAGCATTTTTGATTTTTTGAAGCCGGCGTGGTTGTGGTCGAGTGGTAAAGCTCCGGGTTTTCAGGCGAACTACTCGTGTTCGAGTCCCGGCGAGGTGAAATTTTTGCTTTTTGGATTTAGTGTATTTTTTGGCTTCCAAGTCCCTTTAAACCCCCGCTACTACACAATCAGCCCCCCGTCGGAATGCAACAAATCAGCAGTGGGGGGCGCGCGCGCAGGTCCCGTGGCGGGCTCTATTTGCACATCACCGGGACCCCCTAGCTCTCGACGACGCGACAGTCCAGAGGCGCCTCGTGGACCATACAGTGCAAATGTGTGGATGTCTCTCTCACTCTCTCTCACTCTCTGCCTCGCTCTCTCTCGCTGTATGCTCTCTACAGTGCCCCCGAGTCCTTTTTGCTAATTTCGACCATCTACGGGGTGCGCTTTGACGTCAGAGAAGCCTGGGGCTGGGGGTGTAAGGGGGAGCGTAGCGGAACCGGTCTGGCGCCCCCGGGGCGTTGTCACGCGCGCTGCTGTTTGGCAGGCAGATCCGCGTGCCCCACGTGGGATTGGCAAGTCGCCAGAAGTGGTGCTAGCCGGGTTCCTTCCCCGTCCCTTTAGGTGATGCTGACGCGCTGCGGACGCATTGTGTGGAAGGGTCCTAAAGGGCCCGGGGAGCGCTTTTAAGGTATTGGAACGGTGCCAGGGGAGCTGGATGGAACCCCCAAATACCCGGAATTCCCGGGGCGCTCCCGGCGACACGAACTAGTTCAAGGCGATTCACCACCAGCCCTGCAAAAAATCCGAATCGTCTGTGCTGGCCGGGTGCCAGTCAGCTGCTCTCCCTCTCTCCTCTCTCTCTCTCTCTCTCTCTCTCTCGCTCTCCCGCGCGGCTCCTCTAGACGACCCGATTATGTGTGGGGCTCGAGCGAGCGCGCGCGGGCTCGTGCCATCTACCTTGGGGCGCGGGAGAGAGTGAAAGAGAGAGAGGGAGAGAGAGAGAGAGAGAGAGAGAGAGAGAGAGAGCGAGAGAGAGACCGGGATGCTAAGACTGTCACCCCGGGTCCCCCATCGCACACCATTCCCGCAGCCCGGCACCAAATCTCCCGCCCCCGGGGCCACGTGACCCCCGGGTGGGTGACCCCGGTGGGGCGGTCCAGTAAACACTTCCCCCCAACCGGGCGGAGGAGGTCGTACCATCCCTTTAACCCCTGACCCCAATCAGGCTAAGGTCACCCCCGGGCAGCCCCCAACGGCCATACAAGATTTCCCGCCGATTGCGCAATCGGGCAGTCGCTGCTGCCCGCGCGGGGGCACCTGGGTGGAGCGGGAGGTTTTTTGGGGCAATTCTGAGGTCGGGGAGTTGATAGTTATACAAAACGGGTTAAGGGATGCAAAAAGCAAAATGAATCGTGCGGGGGGAGATTTGAACCTCCGACCTTCGGATTGAAGGGTCAACGCTCTGCCAACTGAGCCAAAGGTAGCACTGAAGCGGAGAGAGACCTGGCCTCAAAAAGGGTGGGTGCGCACTAGGGCTCAGCTCGAACGCGCGGCGCTTTTCGGAAACTTGTTTTGGAGCGTAGCGTACTGCATTTTTTTACTTGAATATTTTTAAATACCCCCCCCCTGGCCCCTCGCCCACTAACCCAAATTTGGCAAACCCGCAAGAGCCCCTCTGAGTCATGGCGACCAAGGGCAAATATTTCCCGGCCTTACACCACCAAAACTCGCGTCACCCGCGCCGAAATACAGGCCTTGAGTCACGTTTGCTTGAGTCACACCACACTTTCTAAGGGTACACAAACGCCCCGCAGACCCCCTTGGCCCACGGCCAAATGCAAAACACATGGTGGACCCCAGAGTGGGCGGGGAGGGACCGGAAATGGATGCAAAGTGCGAGGAGGGTAGCCGCGAAGCAAGGGGGAAGAATCGAATCAAACGAGTCCAAAGGGCACGCACGAACCTTCAAAGTCGGTGTAGCAGCCGGCCTTGGCGAACGCGCCGCTGCCAAAGTCGATGAGCTTCAGCTGGGCCGTCTTCAGGTCGACGACCAGGTTTTCATCTTTGATGTCGCGGTGGAGGACACCGTTTCGGGAGCAGGCCATCATTGTCTCGACCACCTGGAAGAAAGTTTTATGGAGGTCTTTTTTGGGTATCTATCTCGCTCTATTTTTCTCTCTTTCTCTCTAGCTCGCTCTCCTTATGTCACTGACCTGCTTGAAGAAGTTGCGCGCGACACCCTCATGTAGAGGACCATGGTCGGAGATATAGTCAAACAGATCAGTACACGGCGATGGCCGCTCCATGACAATCACAAAGCCATCGGTCCGCTCGTACCAATCGAGCATCTGGATGACGCCGCCGACATCTTGGCACCGTTCGAGGAGCACAATCTCCACCGGCACCTGTCGGTTGTCCAGCTGAAAACGAAGCATTAATGGGAGATATCGACTTGAGTTTTTGTCTTTTTCTCGTATCTCGTTGTGTCGGTATTTTGGTTTTCGGTATTTTGGCGTCTCCCCCCTCAGGAGATGTACAGACTGAAGTGGCTGGGGGAGTTCGGCCAGCCCGCAGGGGGCAACCGGTTCCGGGTTCCAGCCCCCACCCTACCCCTCGTGCTCGAGCTGTTTTCCACACCGACACCCCCTGAGGGGAGGGGAGAATGAGGAGGAGGAGGAGGAGGATGAGGAAAAGAAGGAGCAAGAACCGGTAGCCATGGGCTGGGCTTGGCTCGGCTCCGCGCCAGCTGACCGCATTCCAGAGCTCTGTCTGTCTGTCTCTCTGTTTGTGTGTGGAGATCCAGCAATGGGAATGGCGAACGCACATAGCGAGAGAGAAGGAGAAAGAGAGAGAGAGAGAGAGAGAGAGAGCGAGGGAGAGAGTGACTCACATAGAAAAGCAATTTGAAAGCCTGCCTGCATGTGTTCCGAACCATCGCCCACGCTCCCCCACGTGATTTTCCAGAGAAATTTTCGAGGTTGTGGTTTAATGCACAGGGTTAAGCTTAGGCTCATGCTCAAGCGTAGGCTTAGCCTTTTCGAGGGTCTAAAACTGCGAAAAAAAAGCCAAAAAGTTCCCAAATAACGCTGCTGGTTCCCTGTTTTCATCGGGTCCTCGGGGGTGTTTAGCTAAAAAGTGCCCCCGGGGTCGAGAGAACGTAAACCGAGCTAGTTTGCGTTTGCGTTTTTGTCTGTTTTTGAGGAGAATGAAAGAGAGAGAGAGAGAGAGAGAGAGAGAGAGAGAGGAGCGGAGAACGAGCTGATTTATAGGGATTCCCCGTTGTTTTTGGCAAAATATTTGGACGCGGCGTGAAGGGCAAACTGACCAGCAAAAAAGTGGCTGCTGTTTTAAGGCGAGAGAGAGAGAGAGAGAGAGAGAAATCTCAATAAATCGACTCACCGTGTTCCACGCCGTCACATTCGGCTTCGATACAAACTTGATGGCAACTGGGCGACCGTCGGCTTGTCTGAAGCCAGAGTATACGGTCCCGAAGCCGCCGCGCCCCAGCTCAGCGCCGAGCTTGTAGGTGCGCTTGAAGTGCGAGTATTCGTGCGCTGAAATTGAGATTATATTATTGTAAACGCATTTTTTAGATAGTTCTCCCGTTTTTCGTCAACCCCTCTTGGCACCGTTTTTCGAGCGAATTCTCCTGTTTTTTTAGGTGTGCATAGGAATGCTGCGTAGCGGCGTCGCGTCGCCTGGGGGGCTAGGGCTAGGGTTTAGATAAAGATCTCGGCTAGCTAGCCTTCTTCGGGCTGCCGACGCGGCGCACTACGCGAAGCTATAGGGGAATGAGTGATGGGCTAGAGAGAGAGAGAGATGGATAGAGAATACCCAGTTCTAGCGTTGGGGGAGGTCGAAAGGGTAATAGACCAGAAATTGATCAGTTCTTAGAGAATCACTGCTTGTTCATCCTCTCCTCAAGATTCTCTGCTAGCCTGCCCCACTACCCCAGCCGAGACTCTTTAGGAAACGCTCCCCTTACGTGTGTTTCTTTGATGCGATTCCCATGGATTGCCGAGGCTAGGGGGGACTGTTTGGCCATACACAAAATACAGGGGCTGATAAGAAGCTGCCGGGGGGAGGAGGAGAGGTAGCGCTGGTTGGGATGGAGGGCTAGGCTCGCGACACATACACATATCAAGATGAGGGGGGTATTCCCCATCTACTGATAAGGGACCGGGGGGAAGCCGGTCGGGTGGAGGGGAGGAAATGTACAATCAGAGATGGGATGGGATTAATTAGAGGAGGGAGGTTAGCAGAGAGTTTTAGGCTTAGGTTCAGGCTTAAGCTCACGCTTAAGTAAAAAAATTTCCATATCTCTCTCGCTCTCACTCTTTCTAACCCTCCCCCTCAAAAACCATCGAGTTCTGCCCTCCGCTCGAACTTTCCGGAACTTTCCACCTGCCGTTGCTCCCTATCTGAGCTCCACCTGGTCCCCAGTACCTCGTGCCAAGCTTGGAAACCCGCCAAAAACCTCGTTCCAGCCCCCTTAAACTCCCCCAAAAAGTGTGAATAATTGGGAGCGAGCGCGGGGGTGGAGATCAGCCGCCCCGGGGAAACGTGTCGGATTATGCGTTTCGATATCTGTCGCTCTCTATCCCTCGCTGACTCTCTCACTCTCTCGCCAAATACATCAATCACACTACCCGCGAATTTCTCACTCAATTTGGCAAAGTGGTTGGTTGTGGGGGGGAGGTGCTGTTTATCCGTTTCCTACGTCTGTGTCTGCGCGCGCGTCGATAGGAATGCGGCGTACAGGCATGGGGGGGCAGAGCACACCAAGTGTAATTCGATTAGCATCCGATATCCGTGATTTGCGAGGATGTCTTTGTTTCTATCGCTCGCTCTTTCTCGCTCTCTCTCGCCTTCTCTCACTCCCCTGTTCGACCTAATGATTTTCGAGCTTTTAGATGACCACGGAATTCTTTCCAAAATGGCGAAGCAATCGGGTCCCATGACGATTTTGCAATTCCACACCCCCGTCAATGGGTGTGATGTGTAGTGAGGTGGTTGTTGAGGGAGAGAGAGGGAGGGGGAGGCATAGAGTAATCCCTAGTTATGTGGTGAGGCAGCCGCGTGGCGTCACCCCTTCTTCCCCTTCCGCTTTTCCCGTCTCTCTCTCTCTCTCTCTCTCTCTCTCTGCGTAAGAGCCCTCAGGGCACGGACTCGTGTGTGTGGAGGGAAGGGAAAGGAGGGAAGGGCTGAGTCACGAGGCAGCTGGCCGCGCGCCAAGCCCTCGCACACCACGGCGAGAGAGAGAGAGAGAGAGAGAGAGAGCCGGACATCTATGGGGACACGGGGCTGAAGTGGACGTCCAGGCAGTCAGACAGGCCGGACGTTTCGCGCGCGCACCCCGCGGGCCCACAAAAAGGGCCCGGGCCCCCTGGCCGAACCCATTAAAGGGACACCTCACCTTTTAGGAAAGAGAGAGAGAGAGAGGGAGAGAGAGAGAGACAGAGAAACACGGAGATACATACAGACAGACAGACGATCAGACGATCCCCCAACTCGGTTTTTCGAAAAGTGCACGAAGTGCTAGACGTCTAGACTCGTCTAGACGACCATATGGTAAAACCTAGACTTAACGGACAGATACACAGATTTATCCGGCGTCACACAGACATGCAGACGATGTGTTTTGATTCCTAGGCTACCCCAAAAACCGACATAATTCAAAATTTCTCGTCCTAACGCCATCACCAGCGCCCGATTCACCCAAAACCCACCAGAAACGACAGACAGACAGAGAAACACACAAACAAACAGAGAAAGTAATCAGGCGGCGGCTCTTCAGACCCCGGCTGCTGCTCCTCCTCCGCCTCCTCCTTCCATTCCCTTCCCACAGCTGGGTCCCTTCCCCCTTACCCCCACGTTGCCCCGGCCGGTCAGCTGAGTGTTACGAAATGGGCGAGTCGGCCCGCGCACACTAGCCTCCCACACACCCACACCCGATTTTCGAATGTCCCCGGCAAGGCCAACCGTCGTGGGGCGGGATTTTTAAAGGGTGCCCCTGGTCTGGGATGGGTGGTCGAGGGAGGAAGAGCGGAAATTGAAGGAGCTGGGCTTCGCGGCTTATGGCTGGGCTTAGGCTTAGGCTTAACTTAGGCCTAAGCTTAGCTTCGTCTTCACTTAGGCGTAGGCTTATCCTTAGCTTGGTTTTAGGCTTAGGCTTAGGCTTCGACTTAGACTTAGCTTGGACTTAGCTTGAACTTATCCCAGGCTTTTCAAAAGCTCTGCATTTTTTCTATTGCTCGCCGATCAATTCCGTCATGTTTTTCCTGCACTTTGCATGCCGTTCACCTCACTTTTTCTCTGTTTTCCACCCCCTTTCCCTAATTCCAAGCGTGCCAAGAACGAAAACAACAAGTGATATTTGTGTATTTTCTTGCGGAGAACCCTGGCACCCGGAAAAGGACGGGGAGGATGAGGATGAGGATGAGGACCCGGGGTGAAAACAGGGCGGCTAATGCCTAATCGGGAAAGTTTTGGTGGGGGCGAGGTAGGCGAACAGACAGAGGGACAGACAAAAAGAGCGACAGACAGAGACAAGGACCGAAAAATAGACGCACTCCGCGTGCTGCCAAAACGGGGGAAGTCACGCGCCACCACACCCACACAGGGCACACGCGAATGTGTTCTGTGCTCGCTATCTCTGGCTTTTGGGTCTCTCTCTCTCTCGCTTTTGTGGAATAACTTTTTGAACACCTTCGGGGACCCGCCAGGGGTGTAGCCCGAGGGCACGAAGCGCCCTCTCCCCGGGCCCGATCGATTGATTGCTGATCTCGGCAATTGATGCCGGGAGAGAGAGAGGGGGAGAGAGAGAGAGAGAGAGAGAGAGAAAGCGGGTGGGTTGTTTTCGCGGAACTTTCTGGGTTTATGCGGCTGCTGGAGGCGAAGGGGAGCGATATTTTCGGGTTGGCTGCCGGCCAGGGACTCCACTTTAGCGAGAGAGAAAGAGAGAGAGAGAGAGAGAGAGAGTGTGTGAGAGATAGAGAAAATTACAAACGAACTATTTCCCCAGAAATTTCTGGTTCTACCCCTTTCAAGTGTTTTTCTTCGAGATACAGCCCAAAAATATTTCCGCTTCTTTCCTAACGCCCAACACGGAATCCGAAATTTGTACACTTCCGGAATCTCTAGACCCGGAATTGGCCGCCAGCCAACCCCTCTCCGGCTTAACCCGCCCCCCAAATGGATGGAGCTGTAGAGGCACATGAATGCCAAGAGGGCCACACACACACACACACGCGCGCGCGAAAACAAATCCAATTTCCCCTCTAGGGCCCCGGGGCCTCTAGGGCCCCTAGTGGACAGACAGACGAACAGACAAACAAACACACAGACAGACCGACAACCACAAGGCATTCCGCGGGGCGCCCTAATTAAAAGGGTGCCCCCGGAATACCTCCGGGCGAACGCGCCCATGACGTCGCTCGAAATGAGGGGTTGACGTTTTTGCGGTGTTTTCAGGGCCATTTTAAAACTTCTTTTGGTGATCATCAACAGCCGGCCGATGCTAAACAACTTACATTGTCGCGCGACGTCACCGATCGTCATCTTGCGCAACCGCTGCTTCAGCATTAAAATCACGGGTTGCGCCGCGGGGGCCCGTCGTCGTTTTTTGGGGGCGCTTGGAGGGGTTCTGCAAATTTGGAGTTACTAGATTTCAATAAGAGGTAGCAGAACATGGTATGGAGAACATCGAAAAAGCCGGCTTCATGGACTTCCGGTTGCCCGGAGGTGTGCAAAAAAAGTGCGAGGAGTTCAGAAGGGCTACTTCCGGTCGCCGGCAAGTTCAAGAAGTTCAGGGGGAATCTTGAAAGTGATTGTCATCTATTTCCGGTTATTTTCCAGGGTCCAAAAGAGCCAGACTTGGTGGAGGGGAGTTCAAGGAGTTCAGCTGGCTTGGAAGTAACGTAAAGGCTAGACTTTTCCACTTCCAATTGTTGGCCGGCTTCCAACAGGTTCAGGGAGTTTAGAGATGAGTATTAGACATTTTTGGAGGGTGTATGCAAGTCTTGGAAAAGCCGAGGATTTCGAGGAGTTCAAGCCAGAGGTGGATAACGGCTCCTGAGAATGAGAGCTGAGGAGAAAGTTAAGCTTAAACCTAAGCCAAGCCTCGGCAAGCCAAATCCGTAGATGATCACCCAAAAATGGGCTCGGAATTAATTGGTGAGAGCTGCCGGAAGTGGCGTGGCGTTTGGGCCGAGCGGCGGGGAGGAGGTAGTAGTGGTAGATGGAGGAGGAGGAGCAGCAATGGGGGAGGGGGAGGGAAGGGGACGGCCAGAGCGCTGCACAGTTGAAGCCCCGCCCCCCGGGGCTGACTTTTTGGGGAGGGGGCCCGGGGTTTTGGCCGGGGGCCAGGTGGGGGGCGGTCCGCCTGGCACGGGAAGGGACGACCCCGCGAGCCGAGCCGGGCTGAGCTGAGTTTGAGGACACACACACAGATGCATACACAGAAGAAGAAGAAGAAGAAGAAAGAAGACAGACAGCAAAAGGGGCGGGGAGGGGAGAGGGGGCGGGGCTTGGCAAGTGGCCAGACCCATGTGAGGGGAGAGAGGGAGTGGGATGGGGGGAGAGGAGGCAGAGAAGGGAGGGGAGAGAGTGGGGAGTGGGGAGAGACGTTGGAGATAAAGGGGACCGGGTGGGGAGAGAGGAGAGACAGGGGAGTGGAGAGAGATTGTGAGATATCGTGTGTGACGGCGAGACTACACTGATTTTGAAGAGACCCAGACCTACCCGCCAGACAGCACCCTAAAGTAGAGACCCAGACCAACCGACAACCCCTAGATATCGCGCCCCCAGACACCAGAGAGATCCGCGCAATTCGAGAGACCCAGACCCGGCGAACGATCAGAACGCCCGAAAGGGACACGCTGGAATGTGTATGGCTGTCTGTCTGTGTGTATGTCTGTCTGTCTCTCTCCCTCTCTCTGTCTGTGCATGTGTTCGCCCAGCCCGTTCCCCGGGGATCGCCTGAAGAGAAGAAGAACACGGATTAGTCAGGCTCATGCTCGTTATAATGAGACCAGAAAAGGCGAATAGGGAGCAAGAGCCCACAGCAAAAATGTTCGCCGAATCGGGAAGTCGAACCCGCACCCTCGGCCTGAACACGTGGGCTGTGGTAATTTCTCGGAGAGCTGCGGTGAGTTAATCCATGTAAGAGAGTACGCGCTATTCCGCAAAATTACAGGCGAACGGCCGGGTGTATTGTCGCGGAATCGGGCGACACACACAAAACACGGGAGACTGTTGGCTGGGCGCCAAATTTGGGCGTACATCGGTAGTTTTAAAAGGCCGGAGAGGTAAAGAGAGAGAAAAAGAGAGAGAGAGAGAGAGAGAGCGAGAGAGAGAGGATGAGCATGAAGTATAGAGACCGAACAAAATTCTGATGGCGGACTCAGAAAATTCATCAAGTTACAGACTCTTTGGAGAGCAAGCCAGCAGAGAAACTTTGCGGAATCGAGCGGAACCTACCCATCTTGGAATCAGGTTATATACCTAGACCTGGTGCTCTTCAAAGATCAAATGACGAGAGGTGGAAGAGTCGTGCTTTAGAGGTTGTGATCAAGGACTGACTGGCATTGTATCGCTCTCTCTTTCTCTCTCTTTCTCTCTCCCTCCCTCTCTCTCTCCACCCCTCGTGCTTTGTGTCACTCGTACTATGATCAGCTTATGCAAATCCCGACAGTGAGTCCTGCTCCTCTCCCCTGTGGTGGCAACATGATGAAATGGAGGGCCCCCTTCAACGACAAGTAGCAACCTGGGCCTCGATTTGGAGGGGTGAGCACCAGCCTCAGATCAAGAGTTCATCGCGCCGGGTACGTGGTGTGTACTTTATGTGGAATCGAATTAACTAGAAACAATTGATCAGCCAAATAAAACGTGAACAAGTACAACGCGAGGGCGACGAGTTCAAGATGTACAGTCAGATTTATGTCGTGTTTCCCAACGACTACTAGCCGTTTACGCGGTTACCTCTCTTCCACCCGAAAAACACGAAAAAGAAGCTCAAACTCCTGAAGCCGTTCAGACGAGCTACCCAGGCTTGGAAGCCTGCTGAAGCTGCACAGGCTCGGGCCTTGGAAACTGCTGAATCCAGGGAAGTTGTTCAAGCCATCGGAAGCACGGAAGCAATTGAGGCCTCTTCAGCATATTCAAGCAGTTCAGGGACAGCAGGCTTTGGTACTGTCCGTGAAGCTCAAGAGGTTCAAGCCACTCGGGCTACCCAGGCTCTAACTCGCCAAGTGGTTCCAAGATATGCCGAAGTCGTTCAAGCTCCCTGCCCCCGCCGAGCTCCTGGACGTGTTCGAGTGTTGGAAGCAGTTCAGAGGCAGTGGCTCAAAACTTGACTTTTTCGGGGCAAAATAAGAGCGAGAGAGAGAGAGAGAGAGAGAGCGAGGGCGACCGACACAATCCACCATCCGACCGCTTACCCCCAAACAAGTGCCCAAATGTGGTTGTGGTGTTGTCAAGTCATACAGATTATGCTCTCTCCCCCTCGTGCTACTCCACAACCTACACAACGGCTTTATAGGGGGAAGAATCGTTGACAACAATGGACAACATATAAACTATCAGCAATGGGGGTTACGGTAGGTCAGTGAGGTATAGAAAACAAGATTGAGTCAGAGATTAGATGGGAGAGAGAGAGAGAGAGAGGAGAGAAGCTGAAGCCATACCCAAATCGTACAAAAATGAACACCGACAGGTACAAACACTCGTCAGACGATTGGCATCTTTTCTCAAAATATGCACGTGTCTGTGCCAAAACAGCACTTCTCTCTCTCTCTCTCTCTCTCTCTCTCTCTCTCTTCTTGTAGCTATCCTCCTCCACTTCCAAAGCTCAAAAAACAGGCCATCCTTCAGAGGTGCGAGATAGATAAAGCAGAGAGAGAGAGAGAGGCAAGAGAGAGAGAGAGAGAGAGGCGAGAGAGAGAAAATAAAACGCAAAACAGTCTGCCGGCTGGCTCGGGCTCAATTTGCTGTATATGATTTTGCCCGTCTAGACCGCAAGCTGGGGAGGACGAAATTTATGGACCGCAATTTTAAAGGGGCGGTGACAGCGGGATCTAGCTTTGACCCGTTAGCTCGTGCTCTCTCGTTCTCTCGCTCCATATCCCTCACTCCTTGACACTTTTATATGCCGATCCAGAAGCTGTCAACGCAGCAATGTTCTCTCTTTGTCTCTCTCTCCCTGTCTATCTCTCGCGCTCTCCCTCTCCATCAGCTGAATCCCATCCGCTATCAGGCGCGGGGCGAAAGATGGTTTTTACGACTTGCGGCCACCGTTTTTTGCCCTCGCTTCCCACCCCCGGCAAATCGGAAGCAGGGCTGTAAACAGCCATGTTCCGACTGGGGAGAGCCCATTTTAAAGGTGAAGCCGCGAAAGTGGCTGCTGGCAGAAAGATCCGGGCCAGCAGGCTAGCAGAGTTTCTTTGCGGATTTTGAGCCTGATCTAAGTAAAAAGGTTCTATTAAGAGTCGGACTCAAGAAAAGTTCTTGGTGGTGAGCTGGCAGGGATTATTTAGGAAGTTTCTCGAAGGGAACCTGGCAGTGAGAACCATCGGGTCCGATAAAACGTCTAATAGGAAGGCTAGCCAAGATTATTGAGGAATCAAAAATCACAGAAAATCGCCAGTTTCAAAAAGCACAAAACTATTGACATACACCCAATACCTGTTTACAGGTAGTCGCAGTCAAATCACACGATCGCTCTCTCTCTCTCGCTCTCTCTCTCTCTCTTTCTTCTAAAGGGAGCGCGACACCCCGAAACGGCGCAAACGGTTTTTGCAACCGGGCGGTAATTTCGAAAAGGTCAGCCGACCCCGAGCGTGCGTGTGTGTTTGTCGATGGGCGCTTCCCGGAACGGAACCGGGCCTCAGCAGCACACCTCGAAATAAACGCTGAGTCAACGGCGTTTAGCAAGCTGGCGAGAGAGAGAGATAGAGAGCGAGAGAGAGGTGGGAACAATGTGCGTGACTAGCTCGCCGACTGGCCCACTAGCGCTCGCACGCGGTGTTCTTCGGGATGCGCCGAACGCGATGAGGGTTTTGGTCACTGAACTTTGGGTCCAGGTACGAATGTTTCTTAAACCGGGTGAGCTTTACTGGAAATTTTGCCTTTAACTGTTCTTTAAAGTGGGCCCCGAAGCCAGGGGAGGCTAGCAGCGACCATTTTGGAATGTGGCTACACCAGGGAGAAAATGCAGCCTAGCGGAGATCATTTGGTAAATTATCCGAGCGCAGCTAGCCTAGATTTTTGAGGAGTATTGTCGACTTTAGGCTAACTAGCGCAGATCATTTAGGAATTGATCCGAAAACGATCGCTAACTAGCAGAGATTATTGAGGAATCAAAAAAATCACCAGACTCTCATTTGGGAATTCAGGGTAAGCTAGTAAAGATTATCTAATGGTGAGAAACTAGCAAGATGGTTTAGGAATCGGTGGCAGGCTAGCGAAGACCATTTGGGACTGGAGCCGGCCCGGCTGCCAAAGACCATTGAGAGGTGAAGGGCCGACTAGCAAGGAAAAAGCAGTAGGACAGCGGAGGGGTTGGAAATTCCACGGAATCTACGAAA